ATGTGTCTGTGTTTTGTAATGATATTGGTTTTCTGAGGTCAGCCTGCTTAGCTTGCTTGTTCTGTCTTCACCCCAGAGAGGTTTGGCTCTACCTAAAGCCCTATGGCTTCAACTGTTTTTTGTCTGTTTTGTACCCTTCACCTGTTGTGGGCAAGGTTTTTACATTAAGTAGTTAGTTAATTTATAATTATTTGAAAGGCAGAGTTGCCGAGAGACAGAGCAGGAAAGACAGAGAGAGAGAGAGAGAGCTTCCATGTGCGGCTTCGCTCCTCAAATGGTCATGATGCCCAGGGCTGGGCCAGCCTAAAGCCAGGAGCCAGGAGCTTCTTCCAGGCCTCCCACGTGGGTGCAGGGGCCCAAGCACTTGGGTCATCTTCTGCTGCTTTCCCAGACGCATTAACAGGGAGCTGGATGGGAAGTGGAGCAGCCGGACTTGAACTGGCACCCATATGGGAGGCTGGTGCTGCAGGTGGTAGCTTAACCCACTACACCACAGCCCCGGCCCTTTTAATCAGGTTTAATTCTGAAACTGTTTTGCCAGGGAGCTTCAGTCTTGGAGTGGGGGATAAATGTTTGTAGAAATTTATTTATTTGAAAGGCAGTGAGAGAGAGGGAAGCAGAGCAGCCAGAACTTGAACCTGTGCTCTACATGGGACGTGTCTGCACACCGGCCCCTGGAGTGAGGGCTCTGCAGAATCTTATTTTCCTGTTGTTTTCAGAGGAGTCCATGTTGGGATCATTTGCATATCTGCAGTAAATCGAGATGACTTCAGAGAGTTCGTGTTAAATACATGTGATGAAGAGACTGCGTGGATTTCAAAAATTTTTGCACCAAAATAAGCACCTTTTTTTTTTTTTTTTTTTTTGATGTAGGAAAGTCGACTTTATAAAAAGATTCACGAGGCTGGTGCTGTGCTGTAGTGGGTAAAACCGCTGCCTATGACTCCAGCATCCCATATGGGCTCCGGTTCCAGTGCCAGCTGGTCCACTGATCCAGCTCCCTGCTAACGGCCCTGGGGAAAGCCCCGGAAGATGGCCCAAGTCCTTGGGCCCCTGCACCCACGTAGGAGACCACTATGAAGCTCCTGGCTCCTGGCTTTGGGTCTGCCTGGCTCCAGCCGTTGTGGCCACTTGGGGAGTGAACCAGCGGATGGAAGACCTCTCTTTTTCTCTCTGCCTCTGCCTCTTTGTAACTGCGCTTTTCAAATAAATAATAAATCTTAAAAACAAAACAAAACAAACTACCCGTGCTTTAAAGGTGTGTAACCAGGACAATAGCATCGTGGCTGAGCCCGCAGGCAGCGTCTAGCACGCCCTGGGGGCAGGACCACAGCTCTGGGAGACAGCAGGTGGATGGAGCTGGGGGCCCAGGAAGCCGGGAGTGGTCAGAAGTCAAGTGAAGGCTGGAGTTACAGTCCACAGCCAGCTTGGCGGGCTTTGCAGATCTTGCCCTTCCTCCATTTTTTTTTTTTTTCCTAAAGATTTATTTATTTATTTATTTGAAGGTCAGAGTTACACACAGAGAGAAGGAGAGGCAGAGAGAGGGCTTTGCAGATCTTGTTTCAGAAACCACAAGCCCGGGTCACTGCTACCAGCAGCTGGTCTGTTCCTGCCCCACGGGCAGGCGGGGGTGGGGGGTGGGGGTCGTTCCTGCCACAGCTTTAAGGGCTGAGCTCCTTTCTCAGCCGCCAGCGCTGTGCTTGGGGGCGGGAGTGACAAGCTGTCAGCGCCGCGGGATGCCGCTGTCCGTTGAGAACCGCCCCTTCCCCGGCGCGTGCCTCCCGCCAAGTCCTTTCCAGACGCGGGGCAGGGGGCAGGGGTGAGCCGCGGAAGGTGCTCACTCGAGGGGAACAAGGAAACCCAGACGCAGTTTCTGCTCCTGCACCCTCACCACCCAGACCACCTGTGTGCCCCAGCAGGTGTGGGGTTTCTGCCCCCTACAGGCGAGCAGGCGATTCTGCAGGGGACCCAGCTGGGGGCCTTCTCCTTCCACCCCTGGCTCTGCCGCCTTCTACCTGGGGCTGGCATCGTTAGCTGCAGCAGACTCCCCCCCACCCCCACCCAATTGGAAACCTGGGCCTCCACAACTTTGGGCCGCCCAGATCCAACTGGGGATTCCTGTGACCACCTCCGCAGTTTGCTTGCTACAGAACCTCGTAGAACTCGGGGGGACCCTGAACTTAGTTTACCAGTCTGTTATAAAGGGCATTTTGTCTGCTGTCTATCTGTCATCTATCAGTCTTCTATCAATCAATCATCTAGGTATTTATTTTCATGTCCTCAAGGGCAGATCAGGTGAGAGAGAGGGAGGAGAAAGAGAGAATGAGAACGAGAGCTTTTTTTTTTTTTAAAAAAAATATTTATTTATTTGACAGGTAGAGTTACAGACAGTGAGAGGGAGAGACAGAGAGAAAGGTCTTCCTTCCGTTGATGCACCCCCCAAATGGCCGCTGCGCCGATCCGCAGCCAGGGTCCAGGTGCCTCCTCCTGGTCTCCCACGCGGGTGCAGGCACCCAAGCACTTGGGCCATCCTCCACTGCCTTCCTGGGCCACAGCAGAGAGCTGGACTGGAAGAAAAGCAACCGGGACTAGAACCAGCGCCCATATGGGATTCGGGCGCCGAAGGTGGAGGATTAGCCAAGTGAGCCAGGCGCCGGCCCGAGAACGAGATCTTTCATCTGCTGGCTCACTCCCCAAATACCTGCAACTGTCAGAGCTGGGCCAGGCTGAAGCCAGGATCCCAGAATTCCATCTGGGACTCCCACGTGGGTGGCAGGGGTGCACGTGTTTAAGCTGTCACCTGTCGCCTCCCAGGGTGTGTACTAGCGGGAAGATGGGATGGAAGTAGAGGTGGGCCTCAGACCCTGGTGCTGCGCCATGGGGTGTGAGTGTCTCAAGCAGCGACTGTAACCCGCTCTGCCTCCACGCCCACCTCTGAAGGGTGCACCTGGTGAAGGCACACAGTGGGGGAGGTCTGGAAGGCTCCTGAGTACGGGAACCCCCACACCCCCGGCCCTGTGGAGTATGGTGCACGCCTCTAGGCCGGGACGGTGAGCTCCGCCTGCTCCACTTGGCACGGCTGGCCAGAAGCTCCCCAAGCCGGGACTTGAACCGGCTCCTATATGGGATGCTGGCAATTCAGGCTGTGGCTTAACCCACTACACCATAGTGCCGGCCCCTGGGTTGCTTTCAGAAACAGTAAGAAACCTCCGAGCAGAAGTTCCGGTCTAGGGATTTCCACCTGGGGTCCTTATCAGCTGTTGTCTGCATAAATGTGCACCAGACAGATGTGTTATTTCAAAAGAAGCAATGGCAACAATTTGCAAAATTCAGCCGTGTCCAGGGCTTTCAAGCGTCTGCGTTTCATCAGCATACAAATGCTCGAATTAGAACTGCTGTCCTGTGGAGGTTGACTTTTTGGTGCTAAGAGTGATTTCCCTCGTACAGACTTCATGCAGATTCTTTGACTTCACAGCCTTGGGTCTAGGCCACAGGCCTGGACAATACTCATTTGCACACAGAAACAGGTTTTGGTCCAGGTGGGTTTGTATTCGCCCTCTCTGGGGACATCTAGTGGCTAGTTGCAGAAGTGCAGCCTTTCTGTCCTGACACCATCAGTTGGTTATGGAGGATGGTTGCTGCCCATTCAGAAGTCAGAATTCACTAGAGAATGTGCCGAGAGGGGTTCTTCTGCCCTGGCTCAGCCCTGGTGGTGAATGAATGTCCCAGTCACCCAGGCTCACGGCAGGTGGTTACTGGCATTTTGGGTCGTTGTGCGCATGGGTAGGCCAGGTGTTTGTGTTGCAGTGGTTAAGTTGGGAATCTCACATCCCTTACTGGAGAACTGGGGTTTGACTCCTGGCTCCACTTCCAAGTCCAGCTTCCTACTTGGCACCTTGCGATGCAGCAAGTGATGGCCAGCGCCTCTGTGGGAGACCTGGCTTGAGTTCACAGCACCCAGCTTTGCTTTGGCAGCTGTGGGCGTTTGGGGAGTGAACCGGTGAACGGGAGATCTCTTTCTGTCTCTATGTCTCTCTTTCTTTCTGCCTCTCAAATAAAAATTTAAAAAGCTCAGCAGGTGATTCTAGTGCCCAGAGAGGGTGAGGGTTGAAAACCACTGCTGTAACACAGCTGCCAACAGGTTTCAGGTCATTGAAAACTGTCCCCTCCATACCCCACTGCGTGGACCGCAGGAGAAGTGAGCAGGACCCCCCCGGGGAGGGAGGGATTTTGCGCAGCCGACAGTTTTCCTGTAATGAGTCCAGTGGATGAGATCTATTACGATAAGGGTTATTAAGCTTTTGTGACTTGTGTTTCTTTTTAAAGATTTACTTATTTGTATAAAATGGAGAGTGACAGATCATCTTCTGGGTCACTCCCCAAATGCTTGCAACAGCCAGGGCTAAGGCCATATAGAAGTCAGAGCCAGGAGCCAGGGACTCCAGCCAGGTCTCCTAAGTGGATCAGGTACATTAGTAAGAAGCTAGGGCCAGCACTGTGGCATAGCAGGTAAAGCCGCTGCCTGCAGTGCTGCCACCCCATATGGGCACCGGTTCGAGTCCTGGCTGCTCCACTTCCGATCCAGCTTTCTGCTATGGCCTGGGAAAGCAGTAGAAGATGGCTCAAGTCCTTGTGCCCCTGCACCCATGTGTGAGACCTGGAAGAAGCTCCTGGCTTCTGGCTTTGGATCAGTGCAGCTCTGGCCACTACAGCCAATTGAGAAGTGAACTAGCAGATGGAAGATCTCTCTCACTCTCTCTCTCTCTGCCTTTCCTTCTCTCTGTGTGTAACTGACTTTCAAATAAGTAAATAAATAAATCTTGAAACAATTTTTTAAAAAAGAAGCTGGATTGGAAGTGGAGCCACTCCCATATGGGATGTGGGAGGGAGGAGTCCCAGGCGCCACAGCTCCTGCCCTTGACTGCGGACTCACAGTCAAGCCCTGTGTCGTTACCCAGCTCAGCAGGACACACACTCAGGTGTCTACTTCCTCGCCTCAGGTTCCTACTGATGTACTCCACGGTTCTGTGCAGCTATTACAATTCTGCCCTGACGACAGCGGTTGTGGGAGCCATCAAGGTAGGTGGGCGGAGCCTGGGACTGACTGTGCATGCAGAAGCTGGGTTCGATTCTGCTGTTGCTGTCTGTGGCCAGTGACAGCTGCAGCTGGGGGCTGGGAGATCCCCTCCTGCTTCTTCTCATCTCCCAGTGCACGAATCAGAAGGGAGGCCCTGCTAGATAGAAAAGGAGAGAGAAACAGTAGCTTTTAAATGAGGGGTGAGGGGGAAGGGGTGCTCTGGGAAAATGTGTAAAAATACTGGGGAAACTCCAGGCACTGCGGGCCTCACGATCCCTTGTGATCTGTAACTTGATTTTCTGGGAGAAGCTGCCCGTGGAGGAAGGGAGCCTTGTGCAGAATGGTTTTCCATCTAGGCAAATGCTCAGTTATACAGTAATGAGCGTGCAGGCTGCCCTGTGTGTGTGTGTGTGTGTGTATGTGTGCACATTTGAAAGCACACACTCATGGGTGAGCACAGGATGTTGAGTCCTGACTGCTCTTCCACTGTTGCTTGCTTTTCTGTGAACTCGGGTCTCCTGCTGCCTACCGGCCTGCTGGGGTGCCTGGGACACAGCACTGCCTGGCTTTATTAGACGGCTCGACTCTGCCCAGGCTTACGGTCACTAGGATGAAAAAATGGTGCCCCAGTGGCGGTCAGGAGATGGGATGCCGCCAGCTGGTTCCACCCCAACTCTTTTTTTTTTTTTAAAGATTTATTTCATTTATATGTAAGTCAGAGTTACACAGAGAGAGAAGGAGAGGCAGAGAGAGAGAAAGGTCTTCCATCTGCTGGTTCACTCCCCAGTTGTCCACAATGGCTGGAGCTGCACTGATCTGAAGCCAGGAGCCAGGAGCTTCTTCTTGGTCTCCCACGTGGGTGCAGGGGCCCAAGCACTTGGGCCATCTCCCACTGCTTTCCCAGGCCACAGCAGAGAGCTGGACTGGAAGAGGAACAGCCGGGACTAGAACCAGCGTCCACATGGGATGCCAGCACTGCAGGCAGCGCTTTACCCGCTAAGCCACAGCGCTGGTGCCTCCACCCCAACTCTTGCCCTTGCTCCTGGGTAGTCCCAGGAGAGGGGGCAGAGCAGAGTGGGCAGTGTGCTTCATGTGCCACTCGCTCCACTGCTTTCTGAAGCCATGTGCATGGGTCTCATTCATGTACGCACAGTCCTGTGGACGTGTACAGTGTCCAGGCCCATGCAGCCTCACTCACACACCTGGGTTCTGGGCTTGCCGGGTCTAAGTGCGTTACTTAAATGCTGACTTGCCCTCTTTCTCTCTGCAGAACGTATCCGTGGCCTACATTGGGATGCTGCTCGGTGGAGACTACATTTTCTCCGTGTTAAACTTTGTAGGGTTAAATATTTGGTGAGTGACACCTCTTAGTGAACTTGCCTTAGTCCAACAAGAATTTTCTGCCATCTGATCCATGTGTGATAAGCCAAAGAGCCAAGACGGATGTTGTCTTGTAAGCCCGGGGGTGTTTGGGCTTTGCAATTTCTTTTTTCTTTCTTTTTTAAATATTTATTTATTTGAAAGACAGAGTTACAGAGAGCAGAGGCAGAGAGAGAGGTTCACTGGTTCACTCCCCAGATGGCTGCAATGGCCGGAGCTGGACCGAACTGAAGCCAGGAGCCAGGAGCTTCATCCTGGTCTCCCATGCAGGTGTAGGGGCCCAAGGACCTGGGCCATCTTCTACTGTTTTCCCAGGCCATAGCAGAGAGCTGGACTGGAAGTAGAGCAGCAGGACTCAAACAGGCGCCCATATGGGATGCTGGCACTGTAGGTGGCGGCTTTACCCACTACACCACGGCGCCGGCCCTGCAATTTTTTAAACACTGCACCACAACGCCAGCCCCACTGACACTGTAATTTCTAGAATCAAGTTACTTCAGTTACTCAGTTCATCTGTTTTTCTTTCTTTTTTTAAATACTTATTTATTTATTTGAAAGGCAGAGTTACAGAGAGAGACGGAGAGAAAGAAAGAGAGAGAGAGGGCGCCTCCATCCACTAGTTCACTCCCCAGGTGGCCACAGTGGCCAGGGCTGGACCAGCCCGAAGCCAGGAGCCAGGAGCTTCCCCCAGGTCTCCCACATGAGTGCAGGGGCCCAAGGACTTGGGCCATCTTCCACTGCTTTCCCAGGCCATAGCAGAGAGCTGGGTCGGAAGTGGGGCAGCCGGGACTTGAACTGGTGCCCATATGAGATGCTGGCTGGTGCTGCAGCGGCGGCTAACCCCGCTTCTGCTTCTCTGCCGCAGCTCCTCACATGGCTCTGAGTGGCATGTAGTGAGCATTCCCGGGGCTGGGATGTGAACTCGGGCCCTGCGCCTTCCTCGGAAGTCGCCTAAGCCATGTCTTCCTGCAGAGCCTTAGGTAGATGTCCTTGAACATCTTCGAGGGCTGACAGAGATGCTTTGGAAAGCCCTTCTGGGGTCTCCCACCGGAGACGCTACTGAAAGATAATGAAATCAGGATTATTCAGTAAAAGACAAGGGCCGGTTTCCTCTCCAAACTTCCATGGTCGATTGGATCACTCTTTTTTTTTTTTTTTTTTTTTTTTTCCTGACCACAAAAGTTTGGGCCTAAGAGGGGAAATTCTCCCCAAGGAGTCCACAGACTTGAGGAAACAGATCGGAGTGATGCCCTCCGGATCAGGCTGTGGGCCGCCGCCGAGGGCAGCCCTGGGCGATTCCCGCGAACTGACTTCTCTCTCTTCTCCGGGGCTCAGCATGGCAGGGGGCCTGAGATACTCCTTCCTGACGCTGCGCAGCCAGCTGAAGCCCCCGCAGCCTGAGGACGAAGAAAGCAGCCCCCCGGATTCCAAGGGCTAGGCCCCCGCGCGCAGGCCAAGCCCCTGGAGCTCCCAGGAGCACGCAAGGAGAACTACCTCACGCCCCACTGCCCCGCGAGCCGTCCCGGAGCCCTTACCAGCTGAGAGCGAGGCTTTTTGAAATAAGCCGCCAAGACTGGCGTCGACACGAGGGGTCTTCAGGAAACCCTGGTGATTGGCATTACCGTGAAACTCAGCATAATTAAAAAAAATTTTTTTGTTTTTGGTACCCAAATATAAGGATCCTTTAGAAGGTTTTTGGAAAAACCGAATTAAAAGCTAAATTTGTTTTGATGTCGAATTTTTTTCATTGAAATCCAGGCATAATTTTTATAGTAAGTGTTTTCATGAACGTTTTTAAAGACACCAAATCAAGTTCTTTCAGTTCATTTTCTGTGAGCTTTTGGAAGCTCCCTGGTGCAGTGCTGGGTGCTGTGGACACACCCGTGCTGTCCCCTTGTTCTGTCGGCTGGCGATGCTGCAGGGTCGACCGTGTGACAGGCACGCTGGCCCTCATTTCAAAGGTAGTAGCCAAAGCCAAGGGCCAGTGAGGTTTACACACATTCACACACACACACACACACACACACAGAGCACAGTGTAAAGAGACATGCTGTTATTTCAATAAAATTACCCAGTTAACAGCCAGACAAGAAAGAGCTTTGTTAGCTTTTTTTTTTTTTTTTTTGACATATAGAGTCGTAGAAAGTGAGAGAGAGAGAGACAGAGAGAAAGGTCTTCCTTCCGTTGGTTCACTCCCCTAATGGCCGCTACAACTGGCGCTGCACCGATCCGAAGCCAGGAGCCAGGTGCTTCTCCTGGTCTCCCATGCGGGTACAGGAGCCCAGGTTCCCATCATTTTTGTAAGTATTCAATTATGTTGACTTTTGGGGAAAGATTTATGTATTTATTTGTAAAGCAGAGTTACAGAGAGGCAGAGGCAGAGAGAGAGGGAGGTCTTCCATCCTCATGTTCACTCCCCAAATGGCTGCAACGGCCAGAGCTGTGCCGATCCAAAGCCAGAAGCCAGGAGCTTCCTCCAGGTCTCCCATGCTGGTGCAGGGGCCCAAGGACTTGGGCCATCTTCCACTGCTTTCCCAGGTCATTGCAGAGAGCTGGATTGGAAGTGGAGCAGCCAGGACTAGAAGCAGCGCATATATGGGATGCTGGCACTGCAGGTGGCGGCTTTACCCACCATGCCACAGCAGCGGCCTCATTCCCATTCTTTTGCATACATACTTAGAAGTGGCTGGGTCATGGTCAAGTTTTTGAGGAACTGCTGTCATGTTTTCCATAGTGGCTACATCATTTCACATTCCCACAGACAGTTGCCCAAGTTCTCCGCAGCCTCAAGAGTGTATTATTTTGGTTTTGTTTGTTTGCTTCTTGGTACTAGCTATCCAAATGAGTGTTGTGGTTTTGCTTTGTATTTTTCTAATTCAGCAGTGATAATGAGCATTTTTTTTGCTGGCCATTTGTATATCTTCTTCAGAGAGATATCTATTTAAATCCTTTTTTCCCATTTCTTGTATTTATTTGATTTTATGAGAGAGAGAGAGAGAGAGAGAGAGAGAGAAACTCCCATCTGTTGGTTTGCTCTCCAGATGCCCACAAAGGCCGTTAGGATGGGCTTAAGCCATGAGCCAGGAACTCCAAGCAGCAGGAACCTGTACCACTCCTGCCTCCTGGGGTCTGCATTAGCAGGAAGCTGGAGTCAGGAGCCAGAGCTGGCTGTTGAACCCACATACTCCAATATGGAACCTGGGAGCTGGGCTAAGTGCCTACCACTGTTCACTTCTTAGGTTGTTGCATTGTAGTTCTTTACTGCTTAATTTACTTTTAAAAAATGTATGTATTGATTTGAGGGGCAACGATTGAAACAGAGCCACTCAGGAAGAGATCTTCCATCCACTGGCTCACTCCTCAAATGGCTGCAAGTCACGGGTGGACCATGCTGCAGCCAGGAGCTGGGAACTCCACCCTAGTCTCCCAAGTGGATGGCGGGGGTCCAAGCATTTGAGCCATCATCTACTGCCTTCCAGGGCGCATTAATGGGAAGCCGACTCAGAGGTGAAGCAGCCAGGGCTTGAACCGGCACTCCGATCTAGGATGACAGTGGCGAGCAAGAGCATCTTCGCCGGCCCCTCAATGTACTTATAACGAGCTTCATGAGTGTGAGTTTGGGACTTCCAAACTGTTATGATACTGCCTTAGGTTGCACCATTAGCATTGTTCCTGAAAACCAGAGGACAAAAATGCTAAGCAAAATAAAATCTAGCTTTTCTGTTCTTTCCCTAATTTTTTTTAATGTCTAATTTTTATTCTTGGCATTCTTAAAAGGAAGGTTTGCTGGTTATAAAACTTTGCCCCCCTGCTTCCACATTTGGCCAGCAGAGGGCACTCTAAGAGAAGCCGGGCACACTGTTTTCAGCTGGGCTGAAAGTTACAATTTTTGCACATACTGCCTAAGAACCAAGTTCCCAAGGCCTGGGGTTGGAGGGAGCTCTGACTGGCTTCCAGTGAGTCAGTTGGGAGCGCAGAAGGCAGAGAGGTGGTGGGAAGAGCTCTGTGAGCCCCAAGGACATGAAGAAATGAATGTAGTCCCATTACCCAGGTCTTTGAAAAAGACCATTATGGGGAGGGGTGGCGGGGGCTGCAGGGGTTGGGGCAGGGAGGGAAGACAGCTGATAGTTCAGATGCTCGTTTCCCACCCTGGTTGCCTGGGTTCAATTCCCTGTGCCTCTTCCTGACTCCAGCTTCTTGTTAATGTGCACCCTGAGAAGCATCTGTGAAGGCCACTGCCACTCACGTGGGAGACTCACATTCATCCCTGGCCCCTGGCTTCGGGTGGGGCTAGCCCTGGCCATTGCAGGCTCTTGACCGTGATCCAGCAGATGGGAGTTCTCTCTCTGCCTCCCAAATAGAGAACACGCTACAAAAAATCAGTTCTAGACACGTCAAAGAAAGTCGAATTTCCTTGATGTTTTATTTTGTTGTACTGCATTAATAACAGTTATCCCATTTGTTCATCTGGACTTTCTCCTGCCATTTGAATATTTTTTCTCTATTTTCAATATGTCTCAAGTACAGGGGCACAGGCTGAGAGCTGAGATTGTTGAAGGAACAGGACTCGAATAAAGAAACGTGGGCTCAAGAAAGCCTAATGGCAGTAAAGGCAGTGGCACCGGAGACTGGAGCCACGCCCTCCCTCTCTCCTCCTCCTCTCACTCAGCCTGATGGAGGCTCCAGCTCAGGTGTGGATGTGTCTCAAAAGAGGGGGCTTCTTCCATTCTCTGCTCTCAACCGAGGGTTGCTACCTTGGGAGGGCCAGGCCCCCAGAATTTCTCACTCCCTGCGAGGTGAAGGCACCCACTTAGTAGTGAGTGCAGCTGAGGGCACAGTGTCTCCCTCTGCTGAGCTCTCACTCCCATGTGACGGAGGCCATGCCCCAGGTGCCCAGGGCTGCCTGGTCCCTGCCCCCAGGGGCACCGTTGCTGCCCGGGTTCGCAGTGGACAGCGTGAGAGTGTGATTGTGGTTGGGAGGTGGCTGTATCTGAATGGAGGGTGGCCACACCGGAAGGACCAACAGTGTGGTTTAGGGGTGGGGGCTTTGGGTGACGCTTGTGAGGGCTGGAGACTGGAGGTGGAGATCAGCCATGGGGCAGGCAGCTGGGCCTGTGTCACAGAGCCTGGATAAAGACTCTGAACGCTACCGAGGCTCTAGTGAGTTTCCTGAGTGGCAGTACTCTGTGTGTAGGGTCCCACGTCCCTGCTGGGAGGTGGTATGTCCCACTCCGTGGAGAGAGGACAGGGCATCTCCACATAGGGTTCTTCTCCAGACTCTGCCCTATGCTTTGCTTCCCCTGGCTGAATTATAATTGTTAATTATATAAATGTATATTTATACACATACACATGCAGAGAGAGAGAGAGAGAGAGATTTCCCATCCAGATTTTCCCACCGCTGGGGCTGAGCCAGTCCAAAGCCAGGAGCCTGCAACTTGAGCAGAGTCAGATGTGGGGTGGCAGGGACCCAGCTCCTTGACCTGTCACTTGCTGTCTCCCACAGTCTGCGTGTAGGAAGCAGGAGCTGGGACTTGAACCTGAGCATTCTAGTATGGGACGCAGGTTTCCCAAGTGGTGGCTTAGCTGCCGTGCCTTGGCTGCTCTTAGTCTGTATTTTCCTGGTGATAAACTATAGCCATATGCATTCCAGCTTTCTGTGAGGTCTATGAGCAAATGATCAAAACTGAAGTTGTTTTTGGGAGCTCCTCAGACTTGCAGCTGGTATGAAAAGTGGGGGTGGTCTTGGGCCCCCAAACATCTCAGTTGTCCAAAACTCACACAAAGCCCATAAAACAAGAGCTCCAAAGAACAAACTTTATTTCAAACAGAATGTAGGAGAAATCCATGCTTATGACACCTTGAAAACAGCGCTCCTCCTAATTAAGGGTAGCACGTTGGCTCATAGGCCACCAGGTTCCCCGGTGAGAATCAGAACAGCTCGCCCCTGAGAAGAGTTCTTGGGAGTCAGCACAAACCTTAAAGACCGGCCTCAACATCCGCCCCTGCCAGAGTTTAATTGGATCAGACTGCCAAGCAACTTAAGCCCCAGGGTACTCTCAAAAGCAATAGAGCGATCAGTTGGTAATTGGAGCCTCATCCACTGGGTGTAACCCCAAACGCAGCAGAGAGCCTGTGGAGTAGAAGCCAAGGAAAGAGGCAAAGAGAGCTTTTAAACCCAATGCGGTTGCAGAGTGAGGTGTGCACAGCTCAGGAGTGGCACGGAGGGCAAGATCTGTGTCCCTAGAACAGGTTAGTGCCTAGCTAAGTCACAACAACAAAGACGAGCCTCGGGGACTGGGGAGGGGAATCGGCATCCTGAGTTGCTATGATACCTTACCCTAAATATCAATTTTTTTAAAGATTTATTTGAAGGACAGTTACAGAGAGAGGCAGAGACAGAGAGCGAGATCTTCCATCCACTGGTTCACTCCCCAGATGGCTGCAATGGCCAGAGCTGTGCCGATCCGAAGCCAGGAGCCAGGACCTTCTTCCGGGTCTCTCACATGTGTGCAGGAGCCATCTTCTACTGCTTTCCCAGGCCACAGCAGAGAGCTGGACTGGAAGAGGAGCAGCCTGGACTAGAACCGGTGCCCACATGAGATGCTGGCACTTCAGGCCAGGGCTTTAACCCACTGTACCACAGCTCCGGCCCCTAAATGTCAGATTTTTAGTAAGAAGTTATTTAAGACAGTGAAAGAGACAGCAAAGTGTGGCCCATACAAAGAGGC